GCGCTCGGCGGCGTCGGCGCGGTCGGCGGGGTCGACGCTGGGCGGCGCGAGCGCGGGCGCGGGCCGCAAGGAGCGCGAGCCCAAGAGCGGCGTGCCGGTGCGTCGCGCGGCGGCGCCCGACCCCAAGGTGCGCGCGCGCTCGTTCTGGAACGCGTGGTTCTTTCCGAAAGATTCCGGCTCATAGCGTGAGTGCCCGCGCGCGCCGGACTGACGTTCTCGTAGCTTGTCGAGTCGGGCCGCATCTCGCATGCCATTATGTCGATCGTAAGTTTTGTTTCCCCGTCGTTTCGTTTCGCTTCGGTTTACTTTAAAAGCCGGGGCCCGCCCCGATTCTAGTTTCCTTTAATTTGACGTAGAGCGAGTCGGTCCGTAGTGTAGGCGAGCATGTGCTAACGATTGTGTGTCCTCGTCACTAACTATAGCGACAAATCAAGTGACATTAAAATCTTTCCTTAAATACTGATAACATACGTGTTTATTACGAAGTTTAAAAAACTTAGCTTAATCCCAGTATGTTGTGCTCAATGTATTTGTGGTTGGATTTTTGTGTCCCTAACCCACATTTTCATCATGTTAATAAATTGACACATTTTGTTTGTAAAAGTTGTCGCACTCTGAACTAGTGAAATTCCTTTTATCGTATATTTAATTACTTTTTTAGTTTCAATAAATAATCACAGTTCGTTTGTGCGACACCTTTATATGGCGTGGGATTTTACATACCAACAATATCAAAATATGAATTTTAACTTATATAAAACCATTATTAAACTTAAACATTTTCAAGTGTTATTTATTCAGTGCACATTTTAACATTTTTTGTGATTACTTCTGGACATTGTTGAAGACTATAGTATGGTAAGTGCAAGATAAAAATACATTTTTTTATAATTTGTATAATTATTTTCGCCAGTACTCACTGTTTATGACACATTACATGTTAATTTTATGTGTTAATTCTGTTATTTATGATTTTGTATTTTTATTTGTATGTTTGTATTGACATAGTGGCATAATGGCACAAAATAATTGGCTAATCACACAAAAAACTGATGCTCTCACATGGCCTTTACATTGTTGGTAATTGGTTTGGTAACTAATAGAGTGAAAAGTTATGCACAGATGTTGGACTTATGAAATAATAATATCCGGTAGTTCATGTTTGACATGGTGGAGATGATAGTTGTAGACGTCACAAAAATAAATTGCAATATATATTATGTATCTTATTATTCGATTCACCAAGTCGTCAGTAGTCATTCTCACTAGTATTTTATGTATTTCACTAAACTTCACTTAATTTAAATGATGCTAATTTATTTCTTACCATTTTAAAACTAAGCAATTTAAGTATTTGGCTTGCACACAAGTTCGTATGCATTTAGTCGGAACCGTGGAGGATGACTAGTGGCGGCTCGCGGGCACTTGGCGGACTCGGACACTCATTAAAGGTTAGATCGACAGCTCGGGCCGCAGGGGCAGCACCGCGACGTTTAACGAGCGTCCGGTGTACGTAACAACGTTGGACATTTCGACAGAGAAACGAAGACGAGTCGGAGCGCTGGCGCGTGGCGGCGCTGGCGGCCGAGTACGTGGCGCGCGCAGACCGCCTGGCGCCGCTGTTCCCGCGCGCGCGCCCGCTGCCGGCCGGCCTGGCCCCCTACCCGGCCGGCCTGGCGCCCTACCCGCCCTACTCGCCCCACAACCTGGCGCTGGAGCTGTCGCGCTCTATTCTGTACGAGCGCGCCGACTCGGTGGACGCCAAGCTACGCTCGCTAGTGTCGCAGGTGTCTCACGTGTCGCCCGCGTCGCGCGACGACTCGCTGTGGAACGGTAAGCCGCAGCAGTACTTTGAGAGCATGAACTATGGCGAGCGCCCGCCCTCGGACGACGAGGAGCCCAAGGAGTACGATAGCGACTCGCTTGCGCCCTGAGCCCGCTCGTCCCACTCTGTGTCCTTGTAACTTCTCTATTGAGTATCATTCCACGGTCGAGGGTTCTATGATGTCTCGAGTGATCTGTGATATGTCACCGTTTTAAATGTTAACTACCGTTTTTTGGATCCTATGCTCATATTACGTGACCTCTCGTTGGAGGAATGAGATTTATTTTCCAGTTATAGAAATCTGTTTTGAATCTAATATATAAGTGTTATGCATGATGTAAAATTAAGAGTTAATTTCGGTACTATTAATATAATTTATATCCGTGGCTTCAACTTTTATGGTATGAAGTCAAATAGATGTTTTGATTCATGAAATGATGGATTTAAATATTTACTCACTATAACTATAATTCGTAATGGGTTGATTTTATAAGAATTTATTATCAATAATTAATTCGTTCCACTTTTCATCAAAGTATTACATGAAATGATATACCTACAAAATATGGTAGCTACTTTAAAATTAAGTAACGTCATTCCTAAAACCTATAAGGACAGACTGTAATTATTAAATGTAATTGAGTGAGAGCTTGGAACGACTGTTAGAAAGGCTGTGAAACACTGAAGTGTGCTTGAAGTTGTTTCTGATGTAATCTATAAATTCAGAGGTAATAAAATGTAGTGCTTAGATAATGTGTGTTGCGGTTTAAACATACTATTGTTAAACATATTCCAATCGTCCAGTGGTGTACGTCCTAATGAGACAAAGCGTGACTGCCTTTGAGTTATAAGATTACTATGTTAATTCCTTTTACTAGTATACATTTCATACGGCGGACTTAACAAATAGTAGGAGACTGATTTTGTATAAATAAAAATTAGAAATGCTTTACCTGTGTAGGGAACCTCCATATAATTGACCGTAATTTAGTATTTCTTTCTCTGTTTTAAGAATAATGTGTAAAATTGTACTATCAATTAAGCTCTTAAAGAATTATACTAATAAATAATAATATACCAATTCTATAATGTAAATGGCTGTATTTTATGTAATTAAGAATTTGTGGCTAGATTAATTATTTAAGTCGACTGTTTAATTGTACAGCATTCGATTATACTATTAGAATTTGTAAATTATTAAGCCATTACCTACCTATAATTAAGATACTCATAAATCTATCTAGTTAGCTTGAATCTAGTTGATGACTTATGTAAAGTGTACAGAGATCATATCATTATATACAGATCGTAAATAAAATTGTTCATATCAATAACATCTTTCATTTAAAACCAAAATTCTACTTATTACTGTTTTATTACTACTAATCAATAAATAGTATTACAATGAGTAACATCAATAGTGAACAAATGAACGAAATTACAAATTATGGACTTAGAATTGATCACTGGAACTAGTCAATTTTGGTCCCAGAGTAACATCAATTATCTCGAGTGTATCCAGATTCTTGGTAACGTTAACGAAACCATGTTGTTTTAGTTCTGAAAAATGTTATATTATTTGCATTAGAATTGATCACTGGAACTAGTCAATTTTGGTCCCAGAGTAACATCAATTATCTCGAGTGTATCCAGATTCTTGGTAACGTTAACGAAACCATGTTGTTTTAGTTCTGAAAAATGTTATATTATTTGCATTACTTCGAAAGATTTTCCCAAAATGTATTTAGGGAAAAAATAGAATAAGTACTTACTGAGTATAGACGTAAAACATCGCGCGGCTATGACACCTTTGTAACCGGATATAACGGGACCCTTATCAAGGAGGCTCTTCACCGTCACTGGTTGGAGATTTGCCTTAATGTGTTTCATTATTTTGATCATTGTGCCCTCTGTGCCCCATTGGTCGCTGTAACAAATAACTTTGTAGTTTTCATACAATCTATTTATCCTGCAGAAAGGAACTGGATATTATTTCGTAAGTTATGTTATAAACCCACATGACTCACACTGATACGCACTCATGACACTTACAAACTATTTGAACGAATAAGACCAAATACGTTTTGCGTCAGCTTTTTAAGAATCTACTAGATATCTAATTATTGCAATCTACTTACCGTATAAATCTTTTCGAGTCTGTAGTCTGTTCTGAATCTCCGAGCGACACCTTCGTCCTGTCGAGACTGCCTAAAGGAGTTTCAGAACGTTCACTCCCAGTCACACGAGCTCTTCCTTGTGAGGCAGTCGTTCGTTGAATTTGTGAGTGAACCTCGACCTCGACCACTACAGGTTGTTGTGGAATATCAGCCAAGCCAGCTTCTTGTAACTTTGAAGATAGTATCAATTCAGCATCTTGAGGTGGTTGCGGTATTGGCGGCATGATATTTGCTGGTATATTTTCTTTATTTGTCTCTGCTTCTGTAACATTAGACTTAATGAGTAGAATTTACGTCCACGCACTTTACCTAAATATTCTTAGCAAGAAAATTAATTACCTGTGTTAATATCTGCTAAATCTTTAGCCAGCTGGCTTTCCCGGAATGATTTGTAACCCATGGAGCGTTGATGTTTTGGCTAAAAGAAAAATAATTAAAATAATAATAAATACATTTTTTTAGAAAGTGCGCTCTGATTTAGCCTATGAGCCTTTTGCCATGAGGTTTTATTAGATTAAAAAACAAACTACTTACGCTTCCAAACATTTCTGGCTCGGCTGTCCTTTTGCGCGCTTGCGATAGTGTCTCTACTTTTTGAGTTGGTAAATCTGCAATGTCTATGTCAACTTGTGCGCTCACACGTGGTGGATCAGAAATTTTGAACATTTCCGTAGACACATTCGCTTCAGGAATGGGTGGTTCGACTTGTATTTCAGGCCTTTCTTGAGCAACAGTGGCCACTTGCTCCTCTTCTATTATGTCTAGCATCGTTCTTTTTGTAGTACGACGAGAACGTCTCCTTACGGCTTCAGCTTGCTAAAGTTAAGTTAACAATAAATCAATTTCAAAAACTCGAGTAATTACCTAAATTTTGCATGATAGCTACTGCAATTCAGGTGATTGTAAATGTCAACATCTGAGACTCAATTATTAAATAAACATAAAAAGAACTTGTATAAAAAGACATGGGTACATTCACTTACCTCCATTTCTCTTTCAGCCAAGGGTAGGCCCGGGACCACCCCAAGGTTGCGTCCAAAAAGTACCGAAATACCGTCTCCAAAATTAGATATTATTTTATTACCACCGTGACACGGCCGCCGAAAGTATTCCTCCACGGGTACTCTTACGAAAATTATGTCGTCCGAACTGTCCTATGTAAAAAAATGAGGGTAAGTTTAAAAATAGAACAATCCTGCTTTCAGTTTTATAGTGGGCATAATGGTTTTATTTTGTTTATAGGCTCATGATAAAAAGAAATAATTAAACATTAAAATAAAATAATCAAAATAATATATACCTCGCACCGCAACTCTACCAAAGGATTTTCAATCCTAGCTCGGAAGTGATTAGAACTTATCTTCGTCTTCTTGTCTATTATCAATTTTCGGATCTTACGACGTTTTGCTAGTGGTTCCAGCGCTTCTAATTCCTAAACCGTTACGTATTTTTAATAAATGCATGGTTCATTTCTCATTCAGACAAAAAAAAATATCGACGCAATTTTCACCTATATTTAATTTGCTGTAACTGTAAAATTATGTACCTAGTAGGTCGGCAATTAGGGATGAACCTAACCTGACCATGTCCATTAAAAAAAATCTTAATCTCATGGAATGCACAATAAAAGCGTATGTACGTATGGAGTAGCTTCATGTACAATCTTCTGTTACCCACCTCTAGTTCATTGTCCAGCACTGGATCCTGTACTTTTTGTTGTTCGGGTTCGACGACGTTACTAGGCTGCATAATCTCCGCCCTTGGCTCTTCTTGAGGCCTAAAGATATTGACAATCATAATACTTGCTTCGTAATGCTAGGGTTGAGTCAGTCGAGTGTCGAATACCTTGACCTATATTTTTATAATGCAAGCGGAGCGCTCTGCTTGGCTCCTATAGGTCGTAGCGTGGAGTTTTATTTCTTATCGTTTTATTTATTATCTCTTTAGCTTTATGGTATAAGATTATAGAAAAATACATAGGTCAAGAAAACTACAGCATCATAGTGTCCGATATAAAATATAGTAGGAGGTTTGGTCATCTTTTCAGGTAGTGAAAGGGAAGGATGACTCTTTTTATTTTAGACACGAACCTTTACCATCAGGTAATAGCAGGTTTCTCTGATTATGTAAGTATATAAGTAACTAGGTAACCAACATTCATTATTAAATAATAAAAAATAAAACACTAACTTATCTGGTTCAGGAACAGGCATTTCGGGATTCGGGATTTCGGGTATTTCAGGAATGTCTGCAGGAATACTCAGGTTTTAACGGATGTAGGTAAGTGAATAGGATGATAAAGAAATTAAAGGATGGAATGAAGGTCTAAAGATATCTCTCCTCGCTTGTTTAAACTATTATGGAAACTGCACTGTGTTTCTAAATGTTCCACATGCCCAAATCATGGTCCCGAAAATGATATGACATGTAATTCCATGAAGTAAACAAATATGTAAATATTTTGTTACCTTTTTCGAATTCAGGCATTAGTTCTTCTCCAGTAGCTAAAAAAAACATTAAAGATGGTTAAAGAACTAAAAGGATACAGAACTAATTTGTATAACAGGTGTTTTATGTTCTAGCCTTTAGGTAAGTAATAAACAAAACAATATTAATAAAATATAATGATAAATACATTTTCTGAACATCGTGAGATCATGTTCGGAGATTCTTTCCATCTGCGCGTGCGCCGGTTCGAGCAATAGTCGCGATTTGTCGTGCGACTTGTCAGTCACGTCGAGTGCGATGTCCAAGCCGCTGTGCGCCGTCGATATATCTGGCTGCACCAGCATCATTTCGATGGTGCGGTCTTGAAGCAATTGAAGGGGATCCAGACGTTCTTCGCCGAAACCGTCCTATGATTTTCATATAGATTAAGTAAAAATGTGTATCTATGTAACAACTTAAGTGTTTTTATCTGAACATATTAGCGTGATAAAATGAACAACAGTTAATGAACTGGGTTTTCTCTAGTACCTAGCTAGAACTAGAGAACTATAGATGGGTAGTAGTGTAGTAGATTACCTACAAAACATTAACAATTCACCATACTTTATTCATTTAAAACGCTTAGGTAGATGCCTAGACACTAAACTACACTACTTACATAAGAAAACATTAAAAATACAATAGGTACGAACATTTGAGGGCAATATTATGGTTCTAGGTATTTTAGTGTTTTCAGAGGCGTTCTGTGCTCTGATTGGTTGGTTCATTAGAGCCGGCCAATCACAGCGCCGAACGCGTACTCGTTACGATTACTTTAAACGAAAAAGAAACTCGTACTAAGGCCTCAGTAGCAGAATGTAAAAGATACCAAGTAATTAAACTTGGTACTATTGCTATTTGTAATAATTATCTTAAACTGTCAAACACCAAGCGGTCACCAGTGACCGCAACCTATTGTTCTATAATTGTCTATAATGACAGTACTCGACGAGTTAAATTATATACCAAGTACTAAGTATTTTCAAATTACTTACATTTGGTGGGATGACTTCACCAATAGCAGCTTCTTTCAATGTGATGTCTTCAATATTTGAGACAACATTGCCACTTCTCTGCAGAAATAAAAAGATATAGGTATCAAGGGATATGTTTTTATATATAGTTGAATCACTTGTCCTCTATTTTTTTTTTTTTTTAGTAATTTGTAGACTGGATCTTTTGTTAAATTTTAAATGACATAGTGATTATTGGCACAAATACCTTCTTAGTTAGTCAGCAATGAAGCTAACTAGTCTTATTCCCCTTATTTTAGATAAAATGTTTAAACTAGTTAAGTATTTAGAAACAATGTCCACAGTGTGAATAGTAAGTTTAAACCTGTATCATTTCCTCAATCCTCTGTTCATTTTCAGGTGGTTCTTGAATTATCTCTTGAATGTCAAGCTGCTGCAGCTGTGGCCGCCTCACTTCTTCTACTATTTCCACCTCATGGATATTCCATCTAAGATATTGTAACACTTTTATTATGAACACCTACTATCTAACCATTATTGAATTAAAGCAATTAAAATGTGATAGGAAATAAGCTTTTAAAATAAATAATAAAATAAATTCATTACAAAGGTAGGCACAATAAATGATTTAAGAAAACTCTTAAACTCAAAATTGTTAATCTCAATTTCAATGTGACTAGAACTTTGAATAAATCTATTTGCCATATTTTTAATAAACAATGTCAAAGTTATACTTACTTTTTGTTTGAATGTTTTATCACATTTGCATTGATCATGCATAGGTCACCTGTAAAATAGTACTCAATGCTTTATTACCGACTTCATTGCATTCCATATAATAAAGGAACTTATCACAATCAGCTGAAAATGATTGCTGTGCCTGACAGGGTCCACTTAGGTATGTACATGGGTACCACAGCAAATAACTTAAGCAGAAGTACCTAAGTAAGCATAGAATAGAGAAATAGGAAAGCAAGTATACCTAATATGATCATGACATATCTACATATCTGTACAGTTTTTTACCATAATAAACTTCTCAAAGACCATCAAGATCTTGGCAGGTAGGTACTTAAGAATCTACCGATGTATTGAGTTCTCATAATAGGAAACTTACCTAGAAATATAGTGACTTTTCTTTGGTATAATCTTACTAATCCTCGAAGTAGTTGGGAACTTAAACGAAGAGAAAATCTTCTGGTTGGACGACCCGACTCATTCGTCATTACTTCGAGTAAATCATCACTTCAATATAAAAAATAGCAATGTTAAATAAATCAATTGATAGCGATGATACTTTGTTACGAAGTTACAGATTCATACCATATTTTCCTAATATCTTGAGACCAAAGTTGTCGTTGAGTAATAGTCGCAAATCGCAAAGGCCAAGAATCTGCGACCCAGCACAAATAGAACCTGCCACCTCGTTTTAATGAATCAACAGGATAAAACATTTTAGTATTACAAAAATATTAATCACTCATGCAAACAACAAACGATGTTTATATAAATGAAAGTAAACTTTTAGCAAATGAAAACTCCAAGCAAAATGGAAACTTCGAAGTCACCGAAGTCACGCTTAAATTCCCGCCAAAAAATATTTAATTGCGTTTTCCAAAATAAATGTTGCCATATTCAACTAAAACCGGTTTTTCATAAATCGGTTTCTAAATAAACCGGTTTATTATTCATATAATTTACACCACATTGTATGATATTCGTAAATTATTGTAATAGCTTTATTTTGGTTGATAATACGTCACGTCTACGCGACATACAAATATGTCCATTATTACGTAAAATGTATGAAACTATTAAACTAATAAGCTTTAGGCGCGCCACGACACGACACGCTACGGCAATGTATTTCCGCAATGACAAACAGGGTTGCCAAGTCGTAGGTATATACCGTAACCTATAAGGCCTTTTCAAAATGTAAAATACCTAAATGATACCTACTTTTCTATCTCCTGATGTGCATACTCTATTGACCTTCTAGTATAACAGATGCACCATTTTTATGGGATAGAGTCCAAACGAGCAGACAGATCACCTGATGGTAAGCGATCACTGTCGCTCATGGCTCTACTCAATGTCGTCCTCGCATCCCCCTCGTAACAGGGAGCAGTGCACAGGGGCCCTATGCTACTAGAATCACTAGATACACATACACTTTCACAATTATACAAAATTACAGTGTTTTAGCCTTTTTACACAAATCCTAAGACTAAATTCATAGATCTGACCGTCAAGTAGGTCATAATTATGATTTGCTACCACTGGTAGATTGTATTTTTTTCGCAAATTGGGAGATTGTAATGGATGGTAAAAATAATACTCGTAAAATATTAACTAATAATTTATTAATAACTAAAATAAACTATTCTACATGTGCAATTCAATACTTGTTTATTCATATTTTGTAATGTCCACAGTAAGTAAGCATTCTACATCCTTAATTTAAAATATGTTGATAATAAACAAGACAATAATTTTCCTGATAAATGTTTTACTGGACTACTTAACTCAGGGAGTTTAAAAGAACAAAGTAACATTCATATCATAACATATCAACAAATTAGTAATATTTTACAATATCCTATAAACATTTTAATCAGAAAATGGATGCTGATTGTAAAATGCCAAGATACATTTTGGTATTTTAAATTAAAACTCGTACTTAAACGTTCTCCCTGATTCTTCTACTGTAGTTTTCAGTCTTTTTAAAGTGCTGTTATTCATGTGTTCCGTTTTCAAACCCAATTTCAGTGCCGCCGAAAAAGCTTCCTCAGCAATATCAATCTTATTTTCCGCGATGTAGAAATTGATAAGGCGCGAGTAAGCATTACCTAACGATGAGAGAGACAATCCCTTGTTTGATTTCAATATTTGAATAAGTTTTTCAATTTTTTCTGGTTCTTTTCGTGTATGACTCTCTTGCAGTAATCTTCTAAATACGACAACGGGCGCTTTACACAGCCATTTTGACCAAATCTCTTCGGCTTCTTTCTCTCTGCCGTTCAGTATAAGTTCCATCCATAGCAGGTTAGCTGGTAAGAATTTTTCTTTCGCTGCTGCAATGTCGGCTATTTGTTTGCCTATAGAAAAAAATACAATTAACGTAATCATTATTATCGAGACATATACGATTGCACTGTGTTGTTAAAGTTGGAAATAAAATGGGACGATTGAATTATATAGAGAATAATTATTAGGTCCATTGACGTAGTGGTGGATTTATTACACATGTGCGGGAATCGTAGCAAATTCTATTCGACGCCCTCGCACCCCTCCCACGCCTTATAAGTTTTACTAAATATATAGTCCCTGTAGTAATTGCTACCCTTGATACATGATTACTCCAACATTCATTATGATTTAATATGAGTAGAATTTAAAAAATATTTTTTCCAATACTATATATACTTACACTTTTCAGTGAGTTCATTATCCTGAACGACGGTTGCAAGTGCGCTACTTCTAGGATACTTTCGAAGCACATTATCCATTTCCTCTTCGGACTTAGCAGCTTTGACTGATTCGAGTACATTATCGATATGTTGTGATCCAGCGCCTCTGTTGAACACAGCCAGGGTCAACTTGTCATCGTAGGTCACGCGGCGTTTTAATGAGTCGTTTACATATTTGCCCAACTGTTGTATCTTTTCTACATTTCCTTCTTCAGCCAAACATTTCAATAAGAATTTCAAAACGCCGGTCTTAGGTACCACACCATGTTCAATAGACTTCATAGCTACATCAAGTGCTTGTGAGTACTGTCCATCCTTCGTCAAAGTTTCGATATGAGTCGATACATCGCTTTTAGTTGGTTTACTTGGTTCTCTCAGACTTACGATCTTCTCTACAACATCACCTTCATTTTTACTCTTTTTAGGAGTACCTGTATTAACTTGTGGTATTACGAATGGTACTTCTCTGTTCTTCGCTATTAAATGATTGCCAAGGTGTGTAAGGAACTGGTCGCTGGGTACTTCACCTTCTTCTTGCAGAAGTGTCCAAAGACCCAGAGCTTTATCAGTTTCATTGGCTTTGCAGTATGTAACGAGAAGGTGGTAGAAAATGTTACTACGGTCAACATTGGACAATTCTCTTGTAGCTTCGAGCAAACCTTCGAGGTACTCGGATTTTCCGTCCTGTAACAAAATTATATTATTAGTTAATGGTCAATAGTTTTTTACCCAACACATGTATATCTAGAAGTTACAATGATGAACAATGTGTAGTGTAGTACATAATATATAACAGGAGACCTAGTGTTCCAGGAGCAATATTTTTTTTTAATTATGTGCTGCATTCATTCTTATGAGTACTCCACTAACAAAGGAGTCTAAATTCTTGTATGTTAATCTTAAACTCATTTTTACTGTCAAACAAACTGTATAACATACCTCTACGTATCTCTGGCAAGCGTCATCTAAGCGGCGGTGTCGAGTTTGTAGTCCGGGCGTCTCGAGGATACGACGCGCCTGGCGCAAGCGGCCGCACTCAATGAAGGCGAGCACCAAATCATGAAGGATGTTCACTTCTCCATGAATCTAGAAATAGAATGTTATGTTTAAAAAGTAAATTGTAATCAGGTAAGGAACCTTTTAGGTTTTTTGTTTTGGGCAACTCGTTGCCATTTGTGGTAAGTAATTGGTCTAACTAAATAGCCAAAAGTTTTATAACGGAATAATAAAGCAATAAAAGATTTTGTGCTAAATAACTTATGGCCGAAATTAATAAAAAAAAATTATCAAAAATCTCTGGATCAATCTAAGTTGACAGAAATTCTATACAACATGTTGGTCTGTTTTCAATATTTATACCTATAACAACTTTGAATTAACCGTGTTTCTGGCAAATAAATATATTATTATTACTGTCAAAAGTTGATCATATTTCAAAGATTTTGGTCATTAATTTCGGCCATTAGTTACGAAAAGTAGAAACATACAATAGGGTAGCTGTGTAATTTTTGTTTTAATGGCCATCTAGTAGATTATTTTAAATCTTTAGACACGTATATTGATTTGAAATGTCGCGTGACGTCACTTCTATGTACATTTTTTACGTAGAAATGACGTTTAGCCCCCACTCCTAAACTTTGATTCGTTTTATCTAAGTATTGTTTTATTATACGACAAAATAAAAAATACGTGTCTAATATTTTTTCATTACCTAACTTGCGAACTAATTAGATTTTTAATTTTCATACCCTGTCATCATCCCAATTGATAAGAATAAAATTTGATAATGTATACCTGAGTACTGAGGTCAGCTAACCACTGAAGTTTAGTAGCATCCTCTTTCATAATCAACGACTTCATCAGTTCTCCCTTCCAAGGAGTACTCCTATACTGTTTGCAGCAATTCTCAAACTCTGTCAAAGCACCGTCTATGTCATTTTGCAGTAGGTGCACTTTGATTGAAGGTCCCAAAATAATATTCGAAGGCTCAATGTATTTATTATCTATAAGCATCTTTGTCATTTGTTTTACCTGGAAAATAAATGATTAAAAGGAATGTTATGAATGCTTAAATAGTTTCATCAGCCCTCAATTTTATTAACTTCGATTGTATAATGTATGTGAAATGAGTGTCTAGGACCATTTTATTAATTTATATTTGAGTTGATAAAGATGTACTTACTTGGGCATCATTTTTTTGTTCAGCTAATGTGTTTAGCATTTGCCAGCATTTGGAATTTATCATAAAACCTGATGTGTTATCTTCATGTTTGTGGTTTTCTAAAGTTACTACAGCTTCGTCAAACCTGTTCGCTCTAATGAGAGCATATGCCATTTGTACCAGCTTGTATTTATTCAAAACGAAGTCTGGTTCCTTTTCAGCAAGTTGTACTTTACATTGTAGAGCTCTTTCAACTTCATCATTTTCGCAGTAAAACTCGAACAACTGAGCCAGTGTCGCCGTTGTTAATTCAAACTTCGATTGTTTCAATTCCTCTAAGAAACTGTTCACCTTACTAACATTATTATCTTTAATGTAAGCAACGAGTAGCTGTTTCTGTATGCGAGATAAATTATTGACACCTTTGTTTTTCAATTGTGCAAGTTGATTTTCCATTTGAGCGGTAGTGCGAGGTCCTCCAGGTTTACGTGTACTCTCAATCGGAACCAGCTCCATCTCAGTTGTCGAAAGCTTGGTCAATAGCTGTGACAAATCCTTAGTCATGTTTTCTCCTAAAAATTGTTCTATTGATTCTGCAGCCTCAGTTGTTATTCTCAGTCCTTTAGAGTCGACACTTCTTAAAAGTGCTTCTACCATGTCTGGTTTCACCAAACCCTTGACAGACGCCCTTACAATGCGGCCAACTTCATGAATTTCACTATTTTCATCACTTTGACTTTCTTCATTGTTGGCTGCAACATCTTCACCCAGTGAAGAAGGTTTACTACTTATAACATGAAGAATTTTTGCAAAAGATTCCACGTCTTTTGTTTTATTTACTGCATTGATGAGGGACCTACCAACAAGAGAGTAGTTGCCCCTAGGTCTATATTGCAGACCAATTTCCGCTGCACCTTTTATGTCACCAGAATCCAAAAGTTCGACCATTAGATTTCTTGCCGCGTGTATTGTCGGTACATTTGCGATTTGAAGTTTAAGTATGACATTCTGTGGAGAATCTTTTTTTATCAAGTAAGGGATAACATAGTCTCTTAATGCTTCTCCAGTAACTGTAAAGTCATTGCTGCTCATTTCTCTTAAAATTTGCAATAGACCCTCTTCATCATTTTCTTTTGTTTTCTGAACTAACAAAGGCCAATAAAAATGTTGCCTAATTTCCATCCCTTCTTGTTTCAGTTCTTTGAATAGTTTCAATGCTAATTCTGCTTGGCCAAGTTGCAGTGACCCTTCAGCTGCAATGAATAGAGCTTTTGGCACAAGCCCTTCTTCCTGAAGTTCTTTGCATGTTTTAATAACTTCATCAGCAGGTTTGTTAAGTTTTAGCAGCTGCTTTACAAAGAATGCTCCTTTAAATGGAGTATCTTCTATATTGGTGGATTTTGGCATGGTTTTCATAATTGTTTTAGCAATTTGTTCTTGTCCCTTATTAAGCAATCTAAGTATAACATTACAGACATCTTGATTGTATCCTACACCTTTTTGCAGGAGGGGAATAACTTGTTCCACTTTATCTCCATGCCCACTTACAGCTAAATGCTCAATGACTTCCAAGAGGTCCTAGAATAGAAAACAAAGGATTTACAAAGTCTTCTACATTATTTGCGCTAACTATTTCAGAAAACTTTAATCAGCCTAACTTTTATAATTAACTTACCCGGTCTGTAAGTTGTGTGTCTTTTTCACTTGCAGTTTTGATTATTTCTTGAATTCCATCGATGTCACCATTCTTTGCATGTCCACATGCAAGCAATGTGTATGTACGGTTAGAAGGTTCAAGTCCAGCCCCAGCCATAGTCTGTAAAACTGCTTTAGCCCCATCGGTATCACCATGGAATGCATGGCCCATTACCAACGCATTCAGTACAGGTTCCGACACAGGCATGCTTAGTTCGCGCATCTTTTCTAATACTCTTGTGGCTCCCTCTACATCACCCTCCTGGCAGTAACGCCACATGAGCCTTTGGTATGTTACCCTGGATTAAAACAATCTCATTAATACTTGCTGTTCACTTATATGTGATGTATAATAATTTTATAATCATCTAAATCAACTAAAGATCCCAGCTTACTCACGTGAATATACTGAGAAAAGCTTTACTAGTTTCAAACCACAGAGGGGATCTTCCTGATGAGCAAAGTGCGCGGTTGCGCGATGTCACACAGCCTACTGCTACTGCTACTTTTCTCAGTATATTCACAGGAGTAACCAGTGATTTTTAGTTAATTTAGTATGTTTCACGATAGTTATTATAAAAACTTTTAATCACCTGTTAGGTTGTAATCCTTTTCTCTCCAATTCTTCAAGGAATTTAGCAGGGGAGAATTGATGCTCATTTTCAATGTATACTCTTAATAAAGCATTATAGTGAGAAATATCCATGGGAATTCCTCTTTCAATGAGTACACTCCATATTTTTTGGACCAAAAGTGTTCGCTGTTCTGGCAACTCCTCTGGTACAAGCTCACCTAGTAGTAAGAATTTTGGAATTGTTAGTTTTTCTTTTAGTTTAAACAAAAGATTGATTGCTTATTTATAAATGGAACCTCTTAAAATTCTTTTGTTTGTCTTACGTTTTGTACTGCCTCATTGGCCGAGTGGTCGCAAGTGCGACTGCCGGGCAAGGGGTCTCGGGTTCGACTCCCGAGTCGGGCAAAGTATTACTGGGTTTTTAAAAAATTCTCAGTAGTAGCATGGAGTCTGGAAATGTGCCCAGTATATGGCAATAGGCTCACCCCCTATTACATGGGACTCATAACATAAATAGTGAAAAGTGGGTGCTACTTCTGAGTGCACCTCTGCATACCCCTTCGGGGATAAAAGGTGTAATGTTGTTTTGTACGATAATAATAACAATAGAAAACTAATATATCACAATTATAACATTACTTACCACAACATCTAATGACCAGGAGCGACTGTGAGCTTGTAATGTCATTTTTCGATTTAATTTCATCAAATACTTCGTCAATATCCTTCTTGGTTATTCTTCCGAATCTTCGTACTTCAGCATCTAATTTTTGTAACAATGGTTCTAGGCTTTCTTTCTTTTTTGTTGCATAATCTCTCATAAGAACACTGAAAATTATTTATCAATATAGAAGTATAAGTATATGTAAGTACAATATAGAAGTATATATATCATAAGTACTTGAAGTAACCTTACTTCACTTATAAAGATTATATTCAAAGTCAAAGTCAAAGTCAAAATCATTTATTTCAATTAGACCAGGATGGCACTTTTGAACGTCAAACAACAAAAATTTATAAGTGAAGCTAGTTGCTCATTCCAAGGCGTAGATTCCTATGGAGAAGAACGAGCAAGAAACTCCATAGGTTACTCTTTTTCAATCAGGTTTACAATACAATTCTCTAGTTACATAGTTTTATTGGTTCGATTATGTGAGAACAATGCAACACCCAAATCCAGTCAGAAAGACTGAAAAAGAAAATACCTTGAAAATAACCTATATTGAATTCAATAGTTATTTAGATTATATTATATTAGTTAGATTATATTAAAATCCTATTTAAATTTGAAACAATGTAGTATTAACTTAAATTCATTTAACATTATGTAAACTTCCATTAATACAGTATTATTTTATTATAGTGTACATGAGCGGCTTTGTCATGGTAACTATCAACACTACGAGAATTTACAGAGGATTTTTAGGAAATTATTAAATTGCATGTTCTTAATAAATACATCGTTTATAGTATACTTACTTATTGGCAGCACATAAAGCTTTAGGATTGATTAAAGTAGTAGTTTCAGCAGTCTTGGCAGAGTTTAGAATAAGCGTACGGGCCGCACCAGTGAAGTATCGCACAAATTTCGTAGATCTTAAAAGCGACGACATTTTGTTGTTTCGGAACTTTAAACCATTAATTAATAAACCAATCCTGACACAAACACGGGAAGAATCACTGATCTTTTATCAAAAACCAACCAAGGCAGCTCGGAACTACCCTGAAAAGGAATTTGAGGTTATAGTTATGTCACTTGGCATATTGAATCAGTATTGCTAGAAAGAAAATAAAAAGGAACGGAGGTAATGAAAAATAATTTTTAATTATAATTATCACGTTGATACACTGAACAATTACTATCTCAATTTTTTAACGATTCAAAAATATTTAAAGAAATTACAGTTGAGACTATCAAGGCTTTCTATGCACTAATTAAAAAACATATTTAAAAAAAAAACTACAGGCAACATTATTGCTGCGTTCGGAAATCGAAATATTTTTAGTTATTACAAAGTACAAGGAAGAAATCGAAAATATGAAACACATCCAGTATAGAAACGCATTACGTTGAATAAGGTCATAAATATCAAAATTACCCAAAGGTCAAAATATACTAGCAATTCAAATCACACTAACAAACTGCGCCGGTTGTCAACCATGTGTCAACCAAAACCAAGATAACGGAGCGGTATTACTACTTGTCAAAGTCAATTTTGCGAACCGTACTTTACACGAGTGCACACGGCGCATATTTTACTTGCCGCAGAATTCGTCACAGTACAATTCCAATAGGAGGTTCAGCCGGTTCATAATAAAGCCAATAAGAAACATTTAGAATAAAAAAAATCCACTAACCAAATACAAAAATGGTGAGTTTATACAAACTTCAATTGACTTTGATTTGACCTTTGTAAACGGAGTCTTTTTTATCAACAATTGCAAATTACTATGACTCTTTTATAATTAGTTTATTTAAGAAGGCTTTTATGCAATCTACTAAGTAAATAAGTTACCAACGGATGTTATAATAATAAAATGTAACAATTTTGATAAAATTAAACCGGTTTCTAAACAAAAACTTGAGTATCAAGTTTGATCGTTTTTAAATTGATTTCAGCCAGTCATTAAATAAAAATAATTATTACTTTCGTTTCTGATTATGCATATGAACGTCACTTTTTAATTTTCTAATCTTCTGTAACCATGGCAACAATGTTAACATCATTATTTCTTAATATTTGCTAGATTAGTCAGTGATCTTGTTGTGTACCTATTACATAAGAATATTGTCGCAAACATGAATACTGAAGGTGTTAGTATGCTTAGTAAATTGGATAGAACTCATGCTTCTAAATATAGCTTATTTTTTTGTTTATTTGTATGAAGTATCTGTTACATTGACAAACACATTTACATAGTTGACATCTTAGTTATTGTTCAGCAATCAGTAACTGGTATAAAATACACTTTTATAGTTAAATGAAGTAATAAAAATTTATTACTAAAGTAATACAATATTAATTGGTTCTTTACTCTATTTCAGGCTGAACCTATCAAAGTGGTTGTAACCGGTGCTGCTGGCCAGATTGCCTACTCTCTACTTTACCAGATTGCGTCTGGTGCAGTATTTGGTCCCAACCAGCCTGTGTACCTCCACCTTCTTGATATTGCCCCCATGATGGGAGTCCTTGAAGGTGTGGTTATGGAACTGGCTGACTGTGCCTTGCCCCTGCTTGCAGGTGTGCTCCCAACAGCAAAACCTGAAGAAGCATTTAAAGATGTTGTTGCTGCATTCCTAGTAGGAGCCATGCCCAGGAAAGAGGGCATGGAAAGGAAAGACCTTCTTGCCGCTAATGTTCGCATCTTCAAAGAGCAAGGTCAAGCTCTTGACAAGGTTGCCCGCAAGGATGTTAAAGTACTTGTTGTTGGTAACCCAGCTAACACCAATGCTCTTATTTGCTCAAAGTATGCTCCTTCCATTCCCAAAGAGAACTTCACAGCTATGACTCGTCTTGACCAGAACCGTGCCCAGTCACAGCTGGCAGCTAAGATTGGAGTCCCAGTACAGAATGTTAAGAATGTTATTATTTGGGGCAACCACTCATCTACCCAGTTCCCAGATGCGTCAAATGCTGTTGTAAATGTTGGTGGTGCTCAGAAACCTGTCCCTGCTGCTATCAATGATGATGCTTATCTGAAGTCCACATTCGTCACAACAGTTCAGAAGCGCGGTGCTGCCGTTATCGCCGCAAGAAAGATGTCTTCAGCTCTCTCTGCAGCTAAAGCCGCTTCTGATCACATGAGGGATTGGTTCTTGGGAAGTGGGGACCGCTGGGTGAGCATGGGTGTTGTCTCAGACGGTTCTTACGGCACTCCTCGTGACGTCGTATTTTCATTCCCGGTCACAACCGCCAATGGCAAATGGAAGATTGTTCAGGGTTTGACCATCACAGACTTTGCACGTCAAATGCTTGATGCTACAGGCAAGGAACTTGCTGAAGAAAAACAGGAGGCTTTGGATGTCTGCAAGGATTGACCTAGCACTTAATTGAAACTATAAGCAATATTTAGCTTTAGATATACATTGTATATTGAAAGATCAGAGCAGCCTCTATATTATTATTTTTTACACGATCAACTCATGTCATTGTGAACAGGCATTTCAATATGAAGGTCAGGATTAAAAAAAATCTTTCCATTATCATAATAGACTCAAAATCTTGCTTTATTAATTAGGCATTTCTTTATTATTGTTTTTTATTTTCATATTTAACAGCATTTATATTATATAAAATTACGTCATATTTTTGAGACTTTTATTTTACTGCATAAGTAAATGGATATTGTATGTTAAGTAATAAAATATTGTCTATTCTGTTATCATATTTTCTGTTATAGTTATAAATTGATAACACTGGTTGCTTTATGAAGGTCACTGTAAATAAAGATGTTGTTTTATTACGTCCATACGTTTTATATGTCATGTAACGTAATTAGTTTACCAGTTTAGTCGATAATATAGTGGTACCTAGTACCTACATGATTGTGAGAAACCCTATCCGATAGCATATGATTGAAGAAGCCAATCTTATTGTCTGGCTGTCTGATACACTACAAACTACAATAGTTTACGATCATAATCATATTGAAATATCATAATGAAACAAAAGATTTCAACTGGAAATGTAAACTATACATTGCCTATTAAGTTTTGCAATTGAATTTATTTAATCATTCGAAAATAACTCTTAATGCAACATTTGTAGGTCCCCTAAGTTCTTAGGTGTTAACACCTATGATTGACGAAGGTGGGAATTAGTATATACTAATAAAGCTTCAAGAACATTCTAGTTTACTCGATCAACTAGTGTATTGGTGTATTTATCTTCTAATATCGATAAATCATACGTAATTACTTAAATATTATTGCGTTTCTATCAAGATCTAGATAGATAATCTATTATTTTACGTGCGTGTGAGATAAATTAGTGGAGAGATATAATTGAATGATGGTGTATTATTTCTAAGCCATAAATGAATGTAAATTGAACTAAACTTTGCACGTATTTGATAAAATTGATACGAGGTATAGATATGCGTCGGTAGGTGCATAGTCCATACCACAGTAATCAATTTTCTTAGAAACTAACTAACTATAAATTTTATTTTCAAATTACCTAATCAAAGTTATAGGTACTTAAACAATCAGGTAGGCATTTTGTATACCATGTCAATACAATACAACCTTTCGAAGTGAGCTCGACTGCATTCTCGCCCGTCATTGGTCGAGATTATTCTGTATCTACCAATGACATGGCGAACCGCGATCGAATTCATTTCGATCTTTCGAATTAAAAGTTATAGAATAACCTAGTATACGTAAGCGTCTTCAGGTTTGATTCAATATTTTAGGTAAGTAATCAATTCAATCTAAGGCTCCGCCCTTTATCCTACAATAGTATGGGGTCTTAGAAGATAATGGTGTTACATGAACTTGAACAAACCTTACTTAAGTACAGTATCTTTCATATTGTGGGTAAGCTTTACAAGTAGGTACCTACATACTGAAGTCAATACCTACTAAATAGGTGTTGATTTTGTGAGATAAGAATGCGAGTGCATTCCAATGTGTTGTGCAGTTGTTTAGATATTACTTCCAAGCGTCCGGTCATGGGCGGCGGGATCAAACTTGACGTTAGATAACAGTGGAGTAAACAATGAACAATTAACGGAACACGAGTACCTAGGTCCTTAGTAGTGTCTGATATCCTACTAATATTATAAATGCAAAAGTTGGTATATTTGTTTGTTACTCTTTCACGTCAAAACGGTGGAAGGGATCGAGATGAAATTTGGAACAGGGGTAAGTAAAGTTCATGGGGTTCATGGTATCATAGGTTACTTTTTATCCGACGGAAACGTGGGCGAAACCACTGACAGAAGTTAAATATAACAGTCGGACAATAAACTAAATATTATGGGCTTCTCACGTGAATATCACATACATACATAATTATTAACAGTCTATAAAATGCCCATTGTTGAGCAAAGCCACTACTCACTCGGAGAAGGTCAACAAGCTTGCTCAATGCAGGTTGGCGATTTCAAACTTATAATTAGAGATTATAAGCCCAGGTTTCCTCACGATGTTTTCCTTCACCGTGTGTTTGATGTTTTCTTTTAGAAATTACATATAACTCGAAAAAGTCACATTGGTACTCCGTACTTGCCGTTGGTAGGTTTCGAACCCGCAGTCTCATGCATAAGAAGCGAATAAGAACCTCCGGGCTACCACAATACCTGAATATACATACTTGCTGAGAACTCTACTAGTTTCGAGTTAGGTACAGAACTACAGAGGGACTCTCCCTCATGAGCAGCGTGCGCAGTCGTAGTGTGTAGGTAGTTATTACAAAAACATGGTCGGAGAAAAGGTACTACCTAGGTAGGTAGTACCTTTTTTGGTATTATACTTAAATGTAAGTAGGTACTTACATTTAAACAGTCAAACACCGAGCGGTCACCGGTGACCGCAACCTATTGTTCTATAATTGTGTCTATAATGACGGTACTCGATGAGTTAATATGCATCTCTACCAAATTTTTGAAAAATAGGTTAGGGGAAAAATAGGTTAGTAGGATAGGACGCCAAGAAAATACATCTTTGTGATGCTTATCATCTCATGTAGGTATGCTTTTAAGATATTACTGTAGAAAAATCTTCGCTTTTACAGTAAGATACACCTCAGTTGCCGTGACCTTATAACCCTGACTCTGACTATTCATATCTTTACCTAGATAGGTATTGGTTAGATAACCAATAGACTAAAGTACCTACATACCTATACCTACCTACATAGACTTCACATAGGTATTTCTAGCTAGATAGCTATAAGTATGTTGTTAGTACAACTATAATTTCTGCTCTTTATAACTTAGTTTTCTGTTGGCAAGACAATGACAAGGTACCTAAATCCTACGATAAAAAAATTTTTTATTGGATAAGCCGGTAAACGAGCAGACGGATCACCTGATGGTAAGCAATCGACGTCACACATGGATACCCGGAACATCATAATTTGAGAATTGTTGGAGACTTAGAGATTCAGGGATTGTGGAAATTGGGTAGGAGGGGATTGTGGGTCCTCCGGTAACTTCACTTACACGACCAAACACAACGCAAGCGTTGTTTCACGTCGGTTTTCTGGAAGGCCGTGGTATCACTCCGGTCGAGCCGACCCATTCGTGCCGAAGTATAGCTCTCCCACAATTTCATTCAAGCTCTTCCACACTTTTGTTAGGTACCGTTTTTATTCGTGATAGGTAGGTATCTAATCTAGGCCTAGACATTAGTGTAATATAAAATGTATAAATGTACCTATACAGTTAATGTAGATTTATTTCTATTAACTTTGAAGAGGAATTTCTTTAATGAAATTGTTTCTGGTGTTATGCAAAGAATTTCTCGTAGAGCGTCACGACCGCTTGTATTTTGTAGTTCTTATGGATTTCACCAGATGTCGTTTCGACGAGTTCATTCGAATCAAATCAACTTCTTATTCGTATGTGTTAGTCGCCCGTGGAATAGAAGACGATATTCCGGAGGATAATCCTTATCCTTACTAATATTATAAATCGGAAAGTGAGTTTGTTTGTTTGTTTCTTTGTTCCGCTTTCACGCCGTAACTACTAAACCGATTGCTTTGAATTTTTGCAGACGTAAATTTAAAAATTGATATTCCCGAGGGAAAACAAAAGTATTGGTATATATGGCGATGTATGTATTAGTATATGTCACATAGGCTACTTTTAATCCTTTTGTGACGCGAGCGAAGCCGCGGGTTAAAGCTAGTCACTAATAAAAATAAACCGGGTACCTACTTTCTTTCTCTCGAAATTATTCGTCAAAATTAAATATTTGTACTGTTTAAACCTGTGGCTTTATCATACCTATAGGTACATACGAACGCCTTACAAAAATAATATTCAGTTTATGTTACTCGATTTGCATTTGCTCGTTATAAAACACTAGGAGTTTAACATTAAAACAATAATCCTGGTGCACAACGTGCACACGGGTAGAGGTAGGCTACCAAATTCAATACCAGTTTTTTAGTGTGGGAAAGCCATGCATCAGCACGAATGGGTCGGTTCGACAACGGCCTCACAGAAAACCGACGTGAAACAACGCTTGCGTTGTGGTTCCTCGTGTGAGTGAGGTTACCGGAGGCCCAATTACCCCCTTCGCCAATCTCCTCAATCCTGAATTCGCAATAATCCCCAAAAGGCCGGTAATGCACTTGTAACGCCTCTGGTGTGCCAGGTGTCCATGGGTGAAGCTCATTGCTTACCATCAGGTGATCCGTCTGCTTGTTTACCGGTTTATCCCAATGAGAAACTTAACGGGTACGAAGCACGTATCGGGGCTCCGGCTCGAAGTGCAGGACTACTCCTGTAGTAAGAGTCTGACACTAAGGCGGAAGAAGTCATTCGATGATGATCCTACCTTAAAAAAACCCCATAAAAACAATCAATTCTGCCAATTTTAGTAGAGGAAATGTATAATTATTATTTGTTGTTATTATTTTTTAGTAGAGTAATAAGTCTTTTCTGAAAAGTGGTATCATTATGTATCTCTACTTTCGTTATAAGTGGAGTATCGCGTATCGGTAAATGAAATTATTTTTGCGTCTTTATTGCATAAAAGGTAAGCCACCGATAGAGGATTAAGGTCAATGATTTGTTTACTTGTTTATCAGACGATGTGCTAGAAACTCATTGTCCTGCATTCGTTTATCAGACGTTGGACTAAAATTAGCTAATTTATATTTAAAAAGTTATTAAAAGAACGTTGACCTACTGGCTATAGTTAAAGAGAGTCTAAATGAAGAAGGTTTAAGTTGTTAGATAAATGTAGGTAGAACTTGCCGAACGTTGTTCTGTTCCGAGACCAGTGGCGAATCTACAAGGTGGCAAGTGGGCAAAATGCCACGGGCCCCCAGGAGAAGGGGCCATGTTCAGAGCTTACAATCTGAATTTCTCTGTTGTTTATTGGGCACACGAGCCTACGGTAGTTAAGCCACTGGCCAGGATTGCTTCAAAAACATAATAATATGACATGCACATCACATTAAGACCCAGAACAACAATCAGTGAATCATAAAAAACATTGTTCCGTGCTGGTGAAACATGCTGCACATGACGCAGCAGCCATTGCACCAATCGTCGAGACTACAAGACAACAAGAGTCTAATATTATTTAGGGTTGCTTCCTGAATAAGGTGGTGTTGCGTTGAGAAAAGTACCTAAGTATTAGCGATTTTAACTCGTCGAGTACCGTCATTATAGACACAATTATAGAACAATAGGTTGCGGTCACCGGTGACCGCTTGGTGTTTGACAGTTTAATAAGTATTATTATTAAAATCGCGGACTACTCACGTGAATATACTGAGAAAAGCTCTACTAATTTCGAACCACAGAGGGGTTCTTCCTCATGAGCAGCTGTGCTAGTTTCGCGCGGTCGCGGCGACATCGCGCTTTACGTATATTCACGTGAGTAACCCGCGATTTTATTTAATGTAATACCTAAGTTTTAATTTTATTAATTATAAGTACCTACAGTGAGATTCAAGTCGTAGGTACCTATTGACTTTTTATCTGCTCACCTGCATTGAAATTATGACGTGAGGACCGACGTTTGCCAGATTTTGAGATATGATTACAATGAATGGATTAAATACCTACTTAAGTATACGTAAAATGTTCAATGTCATTGCAATTTGTGATACCTAAAATTTTTTAAATTTTATAGCATAAGCCGTTATACTAGCAGATAGATCACCTGATGGTAAGCAATCGGCGTCGCTTATGAACACCTGCAACACCAGAGGCGTTACAAGTGCGTTACCGGCTATTTGTGGCTTAAGTTTGAGGATTGTTGGGGATTCAGGGATTGGGGAGATTGGGGGGAGGGGGGGGGGGGTTAAGTCTCCAGTAACCTCACTCACACGACGCAACACAACGCAAACGTTGCTTCACGTCGGTTTTCTCTGTGAGGCCGTGGTACTCTAGTCGAGCCGGCCTATTCGTGTAGGTAATTGTTTTAACAAAGTTGATGCGAGATGTCTACTTGTAGTACGCTCCCAGTATAATTTTTTTCTGAAAAATAAGTTTCTCCTAAAATCAATAAATAATATTATAATAAATATTAATCATTAACATTTTTCAACATATTTCAATTACAGACAATAGCAAAAATATAGGTTTACTGATCCTATTGATTACCTACTTATATTATATTTAAATAAATTTGCGGTCTAAAGTCAGATAGGAAATAGGTACCATAGATTATAATCTAGTTCACGTGTTTCGCAAAGGGTCAATAACCGAAGATTAACAAATAACTTAATCAATGATTTCAATCTGTCTTCGTTAATATTTAACGTTATGATTAGATTAGCCGTCTTAATTACAAAACATTATTTCATATTTCCACATTGCATCTGAATTCCGATTGTGATAGTCGCAGTCGTATAAAAAATTTCTCAGTACCTCTAAATAATATGTCTTAGTTTAATAAGATATTCAAATATTAACATCATGTTTTCGAAAGTGATTTTTTGTGTGGTTTCAATTAATTTTATTTTAGTTAGAGGGCACATACAGTTGCCTGTACCAAATGAGGCGTTAGATCAGAATCTCTATAGAGATGTGATTGATCCGGAGTTATGTAGTGAACAAATTGCCCAAATAAGAAACAATACGTTACTCTCGATGTTCTGTAAGTAATCTTTCATTTTGTTCATGTAGATTTGTGTAGAGTATTTGGTAGCAAAAGTAAATATTTGGTAGCAAGCTTAAGGTTTTGGATTCAAATCAAAATGAGTGTTCGAAAATTTTAAGTGTTACACACATTGAAAATATTACATAACATAATATCACGCCTTTTATCTCTGAAAGAGTAGGCAGATGTGCACATTACGGCACTTAATGCCACTGTACAATGTAACACCCACTTTTCACTATTTATGTTATGAGTCCCATGTAATAGACTATTGCCAAATGCAACTGAAAATATTTTACCGTATCTTTTTCTTCGGAATAAGTGTTTGCCTCCAACCTTATATTTCTGTCGTATTTTCAAATGGTCCTGGCATTTTCTGCTTCAATATATTATATGAAATATGGACACACAGGATAGGTAGCTCTAACTTTACTTTTCATTTATTTGTCAAACAGTTGCTGATGCCGGTATTAGGGTACCACGAGGCATACTTACAGGCAACACTCTTGACTTGGGTAATTATCACCAATGCCTCGGCATTAACGAGATTACAGACACAAACACCGAACTCCAAGGGAAATACTGCATGATTCGTGTACCAATGAATCAAAGTTATCATTTTCCTGAAGACTTTGAGATTCCCAATTTTGACCCAAGACTTCTACAGTTGGATGATGAAACTGTAGCGACTTTGAAGAAATATTATGCATCCAGACAAGGAATGTTGGCGATGTCTGGTATTTTTAATGATGAGAGGTGAGTACCAATTTTATTGTGAGAATCTTCATTTTTATTTAGAAAACAAAATTGAATCCCAACCGGTTAGTTTTATAAAGCTGAACTTGAATGCAATCTCAAGATGTTATGCTATGATGTCACCTAAATTAAAAAAAAAAACCGAACCTTTACAAAAGAATTTAAAATATGAAGTTATGGTTACGCGTACTCATGCATAACCATAACTTCATAATCCATTTTAAGAGTTAAAATGAAAATTACGATTATTTCAATTATTATTTTTTTGTTTTGTTCTCACCCCCTATTACATGGGACTCATAACATAAATAGTGAAAAGTGGGTGTTACATTGTACAGTGGCATAATGTGCACCTCTGCCTCCTTCGGGGATAAAAGGCGTGATGTTATGTTATGTATTTTTTGTTTCAGGACGCCAGTACAGACACCTCTCTCTAGGTTTACATTTAGTCTAGCTATCTGCATCCCAAGACCATGTACAACTGAGCAAGCAATAAATTCATATTTATTCAACATATCCGCTATCGGTTTTCAATACACTGATGAGTTTTGTCGTCTGCCTAACGACAAGCCGTGGGTGCCTGGAGACACAGTGGCAGTGTAAGCGATTCCTAATGTAAATTGCAATTTCTACGTCTTCGTACGTTTTGATCTGATTTTAATCAATGTTCCTGACTTTACAGGGTCGTTTTCTCAATAATTGGGTTACTTACTCTTGTCAGTACTACTTTTGATATCTGGCAGACGATTATTTTGAAAAAAGGTACGTTTATTCCTCCTTCTCAATTAAGCGTCTATCTTATTCGTCATTTTTTTATTTATTTATATAAAACCTTACCTAAACTATCATGACAGGTTTCTCCATTGCGATAGCTAGGCCTTAAACTAAATCTATGTAACGTCCAATTATAACAAAATCATAAAGTAAAAAAAAAACAAAACTGAACAAATTCTTGGCTAAACTAAATTTCATATTTAAATTTTCATTATTTAAATTTTCTTTTAATTTTGTAAAAATATTGGTTATGTACTTAAAATTAAATATAAATTAATTAAAAATACGGTTAACTCACGTGCACCAATCGAGAAAAGCTCTACTAGTTTCGAGCCACAACGGGACACTTATTAATTATGAGTATGTTTCACAATAGCCAATATACAAACAAAAAGTGTTTCTCTTGAATCTCTTATTTCTGAAGTCTTTTTTATTTCAGATCCTAAAACAGTGAGTGTTATTGGTAGATCATTTTCTGTATACACAAATGGTCGTCGTGTAATGACATTTACTTCTGGTGCCAACACGATTGAATGTTTGGACGGCATCAGAGCTCTAGCCATGATGTGGGTGGTCCTTGGCCATTCGTTTTCATCAGAATCAAATTGGGCCAATCCCCTTGATGGATTTACGGTGAGTGCTATAAAACGCGTGTACACAAGGCCACACATCAATCTATACAAAACCAGTTTATTCTGGTGTCGCGTCGCATCATCTTTCCGCACATTTAACGTTCAGTTTATACTGGTTATGTAAAGCTCGATGTGTAGCCGTGTGTAGTGTGTACGGTTCCCATGTAGATAGTTTTTAGGAGTAAATTGATAAAGTTTCTTGGATTTTGTATTTGACGGTTAAAATAAACGTTTGTTTTATATGTAACACGATGAAAAAACCCCGACCTCCGGTTATATTTCTTGTTAAAAATAAGTTTCAAAATTAAATAAACATCAAAAAAGTTTCCATAAAAACTTAAGATGATACTTAGGTACCTACATTTAAAAAAAATCGAGTTTTAATCGATTACAAATCGTTTTTTGTTTTCTTGGTATCGTGAGTTAGTGTGTGAGTGACGAGTGGTATCGTGAAAGAACCTAGGGTGAATCCCTAAGGAGTCAGGTGTGTACGCAAATTAATATTGAATCCGAATAAAAAGGATACAGGATACAGTCAGATATTAACGCCATGAAATAGTTTTATCTATAAAATTTCCGCAATTTGTCTTATTCTTTATACCTATTAACATTGATAAATCTTATGAGACCATTTAACGTGTACCTAGGTGTGATAAACATAGATTTAGAACTATCATTAATTTTCGATAAGTATTTAAAACTAATACTGGAAGTATCTATAGACATATAGTAGTACTATAATTACGATTTAGTTATGAAATATTAGTAGATACATGAAATATAGGTAATTTATCTCTAGGTTTATATGGCATAGGGAAAAATATTAATAATATCGATATTATAGAGTTGATTTTCCAAATTCTTCGTAAAAAAGTTTTTAGTTGGAAATGGGACATTGTGGGCGGATTTATTTTACGTTTAAATGCTCATTATTCCCATTTCATTGTTATCAGTTATTTTATTTCTCAGTTGGCTTCTTGCAACTGCCATCAACATTAGTACCAATGTTAGCCGGAACATGTTTTTATGGCGTAAGCCGGTAAACGAGCAGACGGATCACCTGATGATAAGTAATCGGCGTCGCCCATGGACACCTCGAACACCAGAGGCGTTACAAGTGCGTTACCGGCCTTTTGGGGATTAGGAGTTTGAGGACCGTTGGGGATTCAGGGATTGGGGAGATTGGGGAATCGGAGGGTAATTGGGCCTCCGGTAACCTCACTCACACGACGAAACACAACGCAAGCGTTGCTTCACGTCGGTTTTCTGTAAGGTCGTGGTATCACTCCGGTCGAGCCGGCCTATTCGTGCCGAAGCGTGGCTCCCCCACATTTGTTAAATGTCTGTGTATCTGTGTGTTAAAAGTCTATGATGTTACATAGCACGGTACAATAAGGCAGTCGTTATACAAGTTTTCTAAAAATCTTTGTCAAGTTACCAGTCTAGGAGTTCAATTCACCATTCGGTTTAGTAGACCATCTTGAGGCTAATACTATCAACAAATACTTGTCGATGCTGTTTTAATCCTACTATCTTCAAAAAGTTTTACCTAACGAAGCTTATAAAGGATAATAAATATAAAAACTAGGAATTAAATATTCCTTCTGGTGGTTACATATTTTTTTTTTTCTTTTTTTTAAATCATTGTTCCACACCAGGATTTGCTCGTGTGTCGTGGGTGCGTTTACAAACATACAAGTTCACATACACATGACACCCAGACCCGGCACAACAATCTGCGGAGCACACAAAGAGTTGTTCCGTATGGGAATCGAACCCGCAGCACGTTGCGCGGCAGCCAGTTGCCCAACCACCGCGCCAACTATACAGTCATTATTTTTAACTAGAGCGTATCCTAATTAAAAGTATGTACACTGTGTAAATGTTAAACGTTTACATCATTCTAATAAGTGTTAAACTGTCAAACACCAAGCGGTCACCGGCGACCGCAACCTATTGTTCTACCTCTATAATTGTTTTTACAAAACCGGTACTCGACGAGTTAAACGTTTACACCTACTATTGTGTCTCTCTGCACCACCCTAAGGTTGACTGTTAGAGAATACCACTAGGCATTAAGTCCGCCGTTGTACATCTACAAAAAGTGTAAATAAATAAAAAAAAATAAATAAAATAAATGACAGTAAGTAGTGTCGATGTGAGCGCTGCGAACTAATTAGCGGTGTTTTGTGTAAGAAGCAGGTGGTGTAGAAGTAGGCGGTCTAAGTATGTACATACTTGACCTACATCTTAAATATTTTTTTTTAAATTTCAAGTTGACTTAATAATATTTTCTTTGTTTTTAGTGGGCGACATCATGGCAAGCTTTATGGGTGGTATCAGCTACATTGACAGTGGACACATTTTTTATGTTGAGTGGCTTTCTCGTTGTCTATACTACAGTTGGAAAAATAAATTCCAGTAAGTAAAATCTTGCTATCATATACAATTTAAGACTGATGTGTATTCCGACACTATGATCATCCTCTACATTAGACATTAGAGGACTTGCGATAAACTCTACGCTTTTTTTTTGAGGGGGGAAAATCATCGAATGACTTCTCCCGCTTTGAGTTGGCGAGAGGGAGTGTCAGAGACTTTTACTGACTAAAAACCACCCTGTTCCTGCTCCTGCTCTTCAAGCCGAAGCTCCGGCAACCCGTTAGGCCTTCCGCGGCTCCGTATCGGGCATCAGCCATACTAGGCATAGATAGTTTTTACTGCATCTATCAGAAAAGGGGTCTTAACCAATATATTATTCCGCTCAATATAAAGTCAAACTAAAAATCAATTATTTCAATTAAGGAGAAAATAACCTGCCTAAAATAAGGACTGCCTTGTTGGCCGAGTGGTCACAAGTACGTCTGTCGGGTTCGATTCCCGCTTCGCGTAAAGTATTAATGGGTTTTTTAAAAAAAATTAGTAGTTGCACCTCTGCCTACCCCTTCTGGGATAATAGGCGTGTTGTTATGAAAAAATTACCTTGTGAGAACACAAGTCTTATATTTTGTTAACATTGATAACTTTCCAATGGTCAATATCGGAAAAGACTGCATTTTTTATATCAACCTTTATCAATATCAAAATAAGGATAAAAAGGTGTAATGTTGTGAATATAAATGTTGCTCTCTTTGTACAATTAAATTAATAGCGGTGGCTACATTGAACTCATTCACTTTTATAATTTTATTATAAACTAGCAGCCCGTCCCGGCTTCGCACAGGGTAGACAATTATTAAATTTTGGAAATATGGATTGTTGTAGTGACATTACTGCAATAGTTGGACATATGCTACCGCGGATTTTTTTGTAGACATTATGATGTTCTTCAATATTGTTGTACATTATTTTGTTCTATCGCTAATAGTTTCGGCAGCGCATTCGACGTAAGACATTTCAAGACTCATTTTTCTACACCTTCAGTTACATTGTTTAAATTTTACCAAGGATCCCTAATTTTTTTCAAAATGAAATGTAGCCTACGTCAAATTGGAAGAATGTAGCATTCTATTGGTAAAAGAATTTTTTAAATCGGCCCAGTACTTTTTGACCCTATTCATTACAAACATACAAAAATAGGTACAAATCTTTCCTCTTTATAATATTAATATAGATTACAAAAACCAACAAAAACAGTAAGTAAAGCAAGTTTTTCTTTATATTTAATTTTGATGGGCCGACGTTTGACCATTATCTCGCCTAAGCGTAAGCGATGATGTGGTCTCCGATGGAGCACGTCGTCCCATAAGCAACTCGGGCCCTGAAGACTCCTAGGTTATTCCCTTCAGAAAATATAGCAGGTACCTAAACCTGTTGTATATTCACGAAATGCTATTTATAATGTACCTATTTTATACACAGATAACACGCATATTTAATTTTATGTAACTAGGACACTAAGTGAGACTTGTCCGATATAATTCGCATAATGACATTCTTATCACGAGATAATGTATCATAATTAACGGAAATCACCTATTAATTAATCTTATAGCAACTTGATAAGTATTGATGTAATAACAATAATTGTTTTTTAAAAGTAATCTGTTTAATCCTGGAGATATTATTTGGCTAGACTTTAGATAAAGCTTGATATAAAAAATGCAGTCTTTTCCGAAATTGACCATTAGAAAGATATCAATATTACAAAATATAAGACTTGTGTTCTCACAGGATTATTTTCTCATAACAACCCGCCTTTTATCCCCGAAGGGTAGGCAGAGGTGCAACGAGTGATTTTTTTTAAAAAACCCATTAATACTTTGCCCGAACCGGGAATCGAACCCGACAGACTTACTTGCGACCACTCGGCCAACAAGACAGTCCTTATTTTAGGCAGGTAATTTTCTCCTTAATTGAAATAAATGAATTTTACTATGACTTTGTGTTGAGCGGAATAATATATTGGTTAGACCCCTCATCTGATAGATGCAGTAAAAATTATCTAAGGGTAGTCAAATGTCCACCATAGATGTAGCCTAGTAGGGCCCGATACGGAGCCGCGAAAGGCCAAACGGGTCGCCGTAGCTTCGGCTCGAAGAGCAGGAGTAGGAACGGGGTGGTTTTTAGTCAGTAAGACTCTGGCACTCCCTCTCGCCAACCCAAGACAGAAGTCATTGGATGATTTCCCTCCCTTTAAAAAATGGGTAGTTAAATGTGTAGTCATATTTGACAGAGATCGGACTGGAGCACTGTAGGCAGAGGAGCCCATTATGGCACTCAATGCCACTGTACAATGTAACACCCACTTTTCACTATTTATGTTATGAGTCCCATGTAATAGAGGTTGAACCTATTGCCATATACCGGGCACAATTCCAGACTCCGCGCTACTACTGACAATTTTTTAAAACCCAGTAATACTTTGCTCGACCCAGGAATCGAACCCGAGAACCCTTGTTCGGCAGTCGGACTTTTGACCACATGGCTAACAAGGCAGTCTTATATTATAACTAGCTGACCCGGCTAACTTCGTACAGCCTAAAAAATGTTTTTCTCAACCTCTCTCTTCCTTTTAAACCTTCCCTAGACTTCCACGAACATTTCAAGACCAAAATTAGCCAAATCGGTTCAGTCGTTCTCGAGTTTTAGCGAGACTAACGAACAACAATTCATTTTTATTTATATAGATATCTCTATAGACTGATTTTTTGTCATAATCATGACTTGGTCAACTTAAAATTAAATTGATGAATTAATATTTTTTCTCGCATATTGCTGCTAATGGGCTAGTTGCCAGGGAATTAAAATTAAAAATCTAATTAGTCCGTCAGTTAGAAAATGAAAAAAATATTAGACACATATTTTTTTTATTTTCTCGTATAAAGTTACAACACTTCGATAAAATGGAGTTCAGTTTAGGAGTGGGAGGTCGTTACGTCACTAAGTGCTACAAAATGTAGCGTATTGTGACGTCACACGATATCTCAGATTATATTATATCGTCGACAGTATTTAATTTTGTGAGAAAAGAAAAGATACGTGTCTAATGTTGTAAATTAATCTACTAGACTGATATTAAAATTAAATTTAGGCAACTACCCTATTGCTGAGCTTATTCTATTACTATTGCACAATTTCTGATAAAAGGATAGATATTTCTATTATATTACTAGGTATAAATCTTTTTATTATTATTATTTTATCTAACAGTAGTGTTGTTTGAGCAATCCTTTGCTTACGTAGAATAATATAAATTTCTTAATCGAACCACTTTTCTTTATCAGATCATCGTCAATCATTATTTACTATCTGATTTTATTAATATCATGTTTACTTCAATAATAGTATTATAATCAATGTGTGGCATAATAACTACTTGGGTGATTTTATGTAATAAAAATAAATTACTTGGCGATATTAATTAGCAATTTTAGTTACTGACTTCTACGTTCCAATATTCATGATAATAGATTAAATAATTATATCACTAATTACTCAAAATGTCAATACTTGTATTTAGTTTTTTTATTTCAGATCAGTTAATAAAAAACATTCACCTGTTTTGGCTAAATCGACTCTTGCGCATGTTTCCTTTATTGGCTGCTATTGCACTCTTAGAAGCGACATATCTAAACCGATGGACAGATGGACCCATATGGGGTGTAGTGGAAGGTCATGTCCACAGATGTAGGACATCCTGGTGGTCTACCTTGTTACATGTGCAGAATTATATGAACCCTACTAATACGGTAAGTGAAATGTTCAACATTTGGCTGAAGTAAAATAGCTCTTGTTGCTTGTGGAATAAAGATGTTAAAGTTAAATTCTAGTGAACTGCCTTATTACTGTATGATAAGCTTAGTACTAAAATCTATTCAAAAATATGATTCGTCACTTTAGTGACGAACGGTCACCTGTGCTACGGCGTAGCACGTATAGTGCCTACGGTGTAGCTGCAAGCGTTCCTATTTTAGCCAGCATATTTTACACGCTACAAGAGCAGAACCTTCCTGTACCTTCGAGTGTGTGTATGAGACAGGTCTTCAGGCCGATTTTAGTCAATAACAATGTAACAGCCCCCTTTGTCATTCGACTTTGAGACTCCGGTTAAAAAAAGCATGCTTTAAAGCAAAGCAAATGATAATAGATATATCTGTTGATTTCAGTGCGTCGGTCAGACATGGTATTTAGCGATAGACGTCCAGCTTCACATCTTATCTCCAATTCTTCTATACTGGGTCTTAATGGGAAGGAAGAAGATAGCCTGGGCCGCTTTGTTAGCGGGGCTTGTATCTATTTTAACAGCGGCTACTATTTATAATTTTATAAGGGAGTTTCCCTCTACAATGATGGGGTAATATTTAATTTATATTTGACTTTATTGCTATTTTGATTATTATAAGTACTTCTAAGTGAAGTTAAAAGATTTTCCTTATATTTTTAAAAGTGGAGGTCTGTCTTTAGTTCTTCAAACAAGCACGTTAAAAAAAGGCGAACATAGTCCCTTGAAACATACAGAATATACACATATTGAAACTAAGAACATTCACACCTAAATACACCACTGTCAATTTGGTGTATCAATCATTTCAATTGAAATTACGTACGCATTTTTCAACGTCAAGCTTCAAGAAGCGATACTTCATGTATTTTAACCTTATTCTATATTTGCAGTCGCCCAGAACGAACGATGGATTACTCAGTCAATTATTACATGAACACATTAACTCGAGGCTCTCCATTTTTAGTCGGCATGATCTTCGGGTATTTAGTGAGAACTGAAAAACTTGTCATGTCCAAGGTAAGGGTTTAGTAGTTTTATACTTTATGTGGTGTATTTTGTTTACTAGAACCTTAATCTAAGTGTGGGAGAGCCATGATTAGGCACGAATGGGCTAGTTAGACCGTAGCGATACCACGGTCTTACAGAAAACCGACGTGAAACAACTATTGCGTTGTGTTGAGTCGTGTGAGTGCGTTGTGTTGAGTCCAATTCTCTTATAGCCGGTAATGCATTATTGTAACGCCTCTGGCGTTCCGGGTGTCCATGGCCGGCGCCGATTGCTTACTATCAGTAGATTCGTCTGCTCGTTTACCGGCTTATCCTATAAAAAAAGGTCTTTAATTGAATGTTTATTAGCATTGCGAAATTATTAGAATAAATGATCTTAAAGGTTTATCTTACACTAGCTTTTACCCGCGGCTTCGCTCGCGTCACAAAAGGATAAAAAGCCAATGAGACATATAACAAAACACACAGCGCCATCTATACCAATACTTTTGTTTTCCCTCGGGAATATCAATTTTTCCGGGATAAAAAGTACCCTATTATTTAATACGGACTTCTAACTATACATCTGCAAAAATTCAAAGCAATCGGTTAAGTAGTTATGGCGTGAAAGCGGAACAAACAAACAAACTCACTTTCCGATTTTAGTAAGGATACCTAAGAATCACGGTTTCGGCAAGGCTTTAACCCAACAATTATCTTGTTATTTAAATATGAACTTTAAATCGTACGTCGTATAACACATTTCATAGCGTCAATATAAAAAAGCTGTAAGCGCGCCGCCCGCGCGCCGATAACGGCGCGTTTACAGCCTTATTGTATTGTTTCCAAAGCAAAAAACGCTGTGTCGGAGCCGTGCTTGTTAAGTGTGTGGTGAATTCAAACGATCTTGGCAATAAATATATAAAAAATAAAAATCTAATTAGTTCGGGTAACAGTATGGTAGTCAGGTAATGAAAAAATATTACAAACGTATTTTTTTATTTTGTTGTATAATAAAATGATACTTAGATATACCGAATCAAAGTTTAAGACTGAGGGCTAAAACGTCATTTCTACATATAAAATATATATAGAAGTAACGTCACGCCATATTTCAAATCAATATATTGGCGAAAGTATTCGTTTCTGTAAAAAAATCAAAAATACGTGTGTAATGTTTTAAAAGAATCTATCAGACGGACATTAAAATAAAAATTAGTCATCTACCCTATTACAATTAATATGTGGTCTAGTTTAAGACATAATTTGTATAATATTTTTCTTCATGTCTTCATTTTTCCCAATTTATAAAAATCGTTTTGTAAAATAGCTTTACTTATTTATTCTATTTTTACAGATCACCACAGCAGTTTACTGGATAGCAGCGTTTAGTTTGTCAACCTTGTTGATGTACACGAACTATCCCATAGCACAGCCGGAGTGGGACAATCAACTAGGGGATAGTCTATACAACTCCTTCGTCAGACCTCTATGGGCTTTATACCTTGGCTGTTTGATATACGCTTGTGTCAATGGTTTCGGAGGTAAGCTAAAAACAACAAACATTAAGTGTGTGAGAGCCATGGTTCGGCATGAATGGGCCGGCTCGACCGGAGTGATACCACGGCCTCACAGAAGACCGACGTGAAACAACGTTGTGTTCTGTTTTGTCGTGTGAGTGAGGTTACCGGATGACCAATTAACCCCCCCCCCCTTCCTTTCCCCAATCCCTGAATCCCCAACAACCCTTAAATTCCTAATCCCAAAAGGCCGGCAACGCACCTGTGACTCCTCTGGTGTTGCAGGTGTCCATGGGCGGCGCTGATCGCTTACCATCAGGTGATCCGTCTGCTCGTTTGCCTCTTATTCCATAAAAAAAAAACGCACCCATGACACAGGATAAAATCCTAGTGTGGGGCCACATTTAAAAGAAAATAGAAATTAATATTTCTTTGCCAAATGTCATTCACATCCTTTCAGTAGTTTTTGCGTATAAGAGTAATAAACATACAAACAATAAAAATGGAAGACATTAAAGATTTGATCTCTAATAGGGTAGACGACTAATTTTTGTTTTAATGTTCGCTGGTAGATTATTTTAAAACATTACATAAGTATATTTTTTTTTTACAGAAACGAATACTTCCGACGATATATTGATTTGAAATGTCGCTTGACGTCACTTCTATGTACATTTTATACGTAGAAATGACGTTTTAGCCCCCACTCCTAAACTTTGATTAGTTATAAAGTATCTAAGTATCATTTTATTATACATCAAAATCAAAATAAAATAATACGTGTCTAATATTTTTTCATTACCTACCTAACTGACGGACTAATTAGATTTTAAATTTTCATACCCTGTCATCATCCCTATTGCGTTTGAAAATCATTATTCAAGTGGAATGTTTCGTACTAAAACTGAAAATGATATACAATATTTTTGGAAAATAAATATAAGTTTGCTTCGAATAAAATGTCCTGTGTTAATACTTTAAAAGGATTATCTGGGCATAGTGATAACGTGGACACAGTTGATTGATTAGGGCGTGTGAATAACGTTTCTAATTGCTCTAGTTGAAATTCAAAATAAACTTAAAGCCTAAAGCAATAAGGTCTACTTTTGAACATTGGCAGAAATTTTATCGCATAGTCCAGTAACGACGTCATACGTCAGTACGCAGTGTGATCTGATTATATGAATAATGGTTCCAAAATATTTTTGTTTCAGGTCCAATAAATTGGTTCTTATCACTTAGTGTGTGGAAGTTACAATCACGATTGTCGTATGGAATGTATTTGTTCCACTATGGTTTGATGGTAGCTGTCAACTACACTGCGGTAGCACCGATGTATTTCTCTGTGGAATCTGTGGTACGTATCTATTATAACCTAATCAAGATTTTAGAGGCTTTTTAGAGGCATGTACGTCTATTTATACGTGTAATAAAATCGTAGGAAAGTCAAAACTGTACGTACATTGAATATTTTTTTAAAAGAGTTCTTGTGATGTGTTCTGTAATTAAAGCTAAAAATATAGTAGAATTTTTGTTTGTTTGTCTATATGTATGTCTGGGCTAAACTAAAAAAGTAAGTACTGCATAGATTTAGTTCAAATTTTGCATAAATATTACTAACAGGTTGGGTCGACATATAGGCTATATATTATCACGCTATTACCCACGGGGGATGAGCTGTGAAGAACTATCCAAAGTCCCTTTTCCACGCGAACGAACTAAAAGGCACAACTAGTTAACTATAATGAAATATAATCCTAAGTACCTACCATGAAATAATTAAAAAATCGATGTCTGTGTTCATATCACTAAGGCTTGGTATGTACGAATATACAGGGTGTCCCTGAAGTCAACGATCAAATGGAACCAGGTGATCAATAAGGTTCCAACAGTTACATGATAATAATATACTATACAGGTGTATATGTATTTTTTTTTTTTTTTTTTTTTAAATTTGTACAGTTATATTTTTTATTTAATAGGGTAGATACCTAATGTTTATTTTATTGTCCGTCTGGTAGATTATTTTAAATCATTAGACACGTATTTTTTATTTTTTACAGAAACAAATACTTTCGACGATACATTGATTTGAAATGTAGCGTTACGTCACTTCTATGTACATTTTATACGTAGAATGACGTTTTAGCCTCCACTCCTAAACTTTGATTCATTTTATCTAAGTATTGTTTTATTATACGACAAAATAAAAAAAATACGTGTCTATTTATTTTATATCTATTTTTTTATTACCTAACTTACGGACTAATTATATTTTTAATTTTCATACCCTGTCATCATCCAATTGTACCTAAAACACCACCACCATATATAAAAATATTTCCAGTTGTTCAAGTTCCTCGCTCACTATGCGTTGTCCTTCGCCGTCACATTCCTCATGGTGCTAGTCATCGACGCACCCTTCTCTACGTTAATCAAACTCATATTTACCAGTAAGTACACATATTATGAATAGAATAATATTTTAGTGGTAGGTATTCTATTTAAGAGACTGGAAATGTGCCCGGTATATGGCAATATGCTCACCTCCTATTACATAGGACTTATAACATTAATAGTGATAAGTAGGTGTTACATTGTACAGTGGCGTTAATTGCCGTATTGTGCACCTCTGCCTACCCCTTCGGAAATAAAAAGTTGTTATGTTATGTCATGTTATGCATTATAATTATAAGATTTTTATTATGGGATAGCTGATAATCGAGCACACGGATCGCCTGATGGTAAGCAATGGGTGACGCGCTTAGACACTCGAAACACCAGAGGCGTTACAAGTGCGTTACTGGCCTTTTGGGGATTAGGAATTTGAGAAATGTTGGGGATTCAGGGATTGGGAAGATTGAGGAGCCTCCTCCTCCGACCCGTAATTGGGTCCCAGATGCTTAATTAATGTAGCATAAGGAGTCACTGCACTCAGGTTGCTTCCAACCGGTTGATCTGGAGCTCCCCAACTGGGAGCTCTATAAACGGTAGTGGTCGTCGTGACTAATACAATGATCACGATGATTCTAGAAGATATCAAAATACGTGATGATTATAAATTCGAAAAAATCAATAGAAGTTTCGAAACTATTATAAGTTGACTTTGACTCATAGAGCCAAAAATAAAATATCATTTGTTTTTCTCAGGTCCAAAGAAACCCACAAAAAAGGAATTCGATGAAGAACCAGCAAAGGAGATGGATAAAACAGTGTAAAATACTATATAAACGCACACCCACACACACACACACATACCCACACACACACACTAGTATTTTACGGTGTGTTAGTGTGTGTGTGTGTGTGTGTTACTTAGTTAATTACTTAGTTATATTATGTAGGTAATTTAAATTGTAATATTAAATTGAAACTCGCTATTTGTTCCTCATAATTGTAGGTCGATAGTTAAAACTTAATTTATTTTTTTCGTATTAATAAATAAATGTTTTTGTATGAAAAAGAAATCTTCTATGAAAAGTTGTTATTTCATTTATTTATTCCTATGTTTTTGTGAGGTTATGTAGAAAGAAAGGAAAATGGTTTATTTGTACACTGTCACAAAGTACAATAACACACAAAATAATTAAACAGTGAAGACGGCGCAATATGGCCAGAACTCAGCTTAAATACCGTGACCCGAGTGCGCTCGAGTCGCGGCTCTTCCGTGTATAGTGGGAAAATCGAACTTGATAAGCATTGCATTGCGTCCGATCGCAGAACGAAGGGAACTACCTCTATGATATCATACATCGATCTACCTACACATACTATTATCTAATCATGCTTGAAATAAACTGAACTCATATTTTGAAACAAACATAGGTAAATAAATTGTTATGTTTTCGGCTTAGTACTCACGTAACTGTTTGACGAGGAACTCGACTAGTTTCAAGCCATGCTAGAGGCTCATATTCATGAGCAGCATTTCGCGACCCGCGACGCGGCGACTGTCGCGCTGCTACTACGGGCTGCTCGACTTTTCGGCTAATATAATTTACTACGGGAGTTACTTTTTGAGTAAAATACTTTAATTTCATTATTATAAACAGTATTCTATATTTTTTTAAATACCTAAATACATTATGAGTATTTAAAGCGTTCTAATTCCAATGATACCTCCATCTGCTGCACGGTTGGTGCGGTGGCTGGGCAACCGGCTGCCGTGCAACGTGTCGCGGGTTCGATTCCCGCACGGAACAACACTTTGTGTCATCCACAAATTGTTGTTTCGGGTCTGGGTGTCATTGTGTATGTGAACTTGTATGTTTGTAAACGCACCCACGATACAGGAGAAAATCCTAATGTGGGGCAAAATTTTTATTTAAAACAAAAAAAAAAAAAACCCTCTACAGATAAATAAAATTGGGGTGTCTGTGTCTGATGACATATACCAAAATAACAATACAGATATTGGCTAATCTCTGGAATGCTTGACCAATTTTGACTAGACATTTACTGGCAGGTAGCTGATGTACTAAGGAGTAAAATAGGCTACTTTTATTTTGTAAAATTTAAACAAAAAAAATGTTCTAAAGTTCATATTCTACGCGGAGGAAGTCGTGGGAAAAAGCTAGTATAGTAACATTATTAGGTACACAACTAAATATACCTATTCATAATTTCATGTCACTATTCCACGAATGTCCGATTCTAATTTTAAATCATGTTACAATTTCGTTATTATTGTAGTCACGAATATGAACAATACTTCTAATTTGCCACCCACTCGTAACATTAACAATGTTACACAATATTTTAACAAATGTTCAAATTTGGAAGTGAATTGAAATAATAGATAGGTTATACTGTACATACAATAATTTAAATTTAGAATTTTCATACCGAACAAAAGGTAATTCTATTTCGAATTTGTAGGCAATAAATGTTGCTAATTATTTCATTTAATTCGTGTCACAATTTTTCGAATAGAGTAGGTAAACGAACTTTATAAAATTCTATTTTTGAACAAAATATAAACTAAATTATTTCATCTATGGGGCCCTAATATACACAATGTGAACGTCTGAATATTGTCAAATTTATTTATGTCATATAGGGACCTTCGGTTTTTATTCCAGATACAATAAATAACGTACACAACATGTAACTTAAATAACGCACATCCTGAAAATAGTTTGTTCAGAACCGTTAACTGAATCGATTTATATCTTATATCCCAAAATTAATTAAAAGTACGGAAATTATTGTCATATTAATCCTGTATTGTTAAAACGAATCGAAATGGACCGTAAGTCAAAGCAATAAGACTTTTAAAATCGCAGTTTTATTTGTATTCATACAAATTCTATCATTCAATACAAAATAAATAAAAATAAACCTTATGACAAGACCAGTAAGGATGCATATACATGTTAAATTAAAAATTTAGTGTATGTATTATGATTATAACGTAATATTCCAATTAGGGTGTTTGAGGGTGTGCGTTAATTACGTTACATGTTGTAAATGATATAATGAAATGGTTATTTTATTAGTCCCTTTTTAGTTCCAACACTATGTGTGTATTTACACGGAATTAAAGATTATAGTTTACAATCAATTAATCCCCTTAAAAGTGCATTCCACCTTTTTTCTATAATAAAATCGTGTCCATTTTATTTCAAACATCCAGGTTTGTAATATTTGGTCCCCGCTGGCCTCTCACATGGCATATTAAGCAGGAATTGGTTTAACTTCGTTTGCCCTGATAGCGAGTGAATATTCAACGCTAGCCTTGCGTTGGTGCATCTCCAACGTGGCGTAATATGACGTTAAATGGCGTAAAAGTTTCTAACATACACGAACAATGACGGTTGATTCAATGAAATGTTCAGATTCACTATTAAACGTTTAGTTATTTTTAGTTAATTTTGACTGCCTCGTTGGCCGAGTGATCGCAAGTGCGACTGCCGGGCAAGGGGAGACCCCTTCCATTCCATTTCCGGGTCGGGCAAAATATTACTGGGTTTTTAAAAATCTCAGTAGTAAAACGGAGTCTGGAAATGTGCCCGGTATATGGCATTAGCCTCACCCCCTATTACATGGGACTCATAACATAAATAGTGAAAAGTGGGTGTTACATTGTACAGTGGCATTAAGTGCCGCAATATGCCTACTCCTTCGGAGATAAAAAGGCGTGGTGTTATATTATGTTAATTTAAATCTTTGTTAATCTATTCTCAGAGTTTTAATGGTTACATTTCCACTTCAAAATTAGGTAATTTTTTGCAAGTTACTCAAATATTTCGAGTCAACAAATTCATATTGTAATTAAAAACAAACATATTAACAGTACAAAACTTCAAAGCAACTAAAGAGCACAATCTGTTCTATCTAAATAGTCTAAACACACAGTAGTCAACGAAACTCATCTGACTTTACACAAACTCGGTCCGTGTTTAAGCAAACTGCAATACAAAGATCGGTCCTTCAACTAAGCTACAAAACATAGTGTGCAGTCCAGAGCTCTGACCAATATCTAAGTCGGGCAGAGCTTGAACGTATTCTACAGAAGCAGAAGGTTCATAAATACTCGTATATACAGTGTACGCCACCTTTGAGATTCTGGACATTGCATATTTAGTTGGGAGATTGTCAAAGACGTCTTCTTGATTCCGACGTCTCAAAAAACGAATTTTATTTAGTGTATTAACCACACATACAAGTAAAAGGTTAAAGACGCCCGCTTCTCATGCATGAGAGATCGAACAAATGGTAAAAAGGAAAACATTGTGAGTAAACCTGGGCTTATCCATACATATTATAAAACAAAGTCGCTTTCGCTGTATGTCCGTATGTATGCTTAGATCTTTAAAACTACGCAACGGATTTTGATGCGGTTTTTTTTAATAGATAGAGTGATTCTTAAGGAAGGTTTATATGTATAATACATGCATATTGCACCCGTGCGAAGCCGGGGCGGGTCGCTAGTAACTTCTAATTATAAGTTTGAAATCGCCAACCAGTATTAAGCAAGCGTAGTGATTAATGCTCAAACCTTCTCCGGCCGAGAAGAGGCTTTTGGTCAGCAGTGGCTACTTATAGACTGTTGATGATGATGATGACAAGTAAAAGTATACTAGTTTATTCCACAATTTTAAGATGAAAGAAAAATTACATGATTTATTACAAATGGCAAGGAAAAGCAACCTAGTGCATAGTAACCATTGCTTTAATTTAAAATTGACAGTAAACCAATCTTCAAAAAGAATTTGCAGCGCGACAGTCGCCGCGTCGCGGGTCGCGAAATGCTACTCATGAAAATGAGCCTCTAGCATGGCTTGAAACTAGGCGAGTTCCTCGTCAAATTATTACGTGAGTAAACCGAACACATAATAATTTATTCAAAAAGAATCTTAAAAAAAAATCCCTAAAACATCATAAACAACTTCGCGGAGTAGTCTTACTGTACATTATTTTTATTATCATCAAAATGCAACAGTATTTGTATAACCTATCTATGTGGAGTACGGATACCAACACAAGTTACATCTGTCTAAACTCTATTACAAACCCTACATTTGTGCTAGAAAGCTGGTTAGTTCAGCAGTTGCAATTTCACCAGTGTGCTATGTTATTCAGCTAGCTGTTTTCTATCAAATGTCTAATTACTACGTTATTTGATCATTTTGCTTGTTGGAAACGTTGCTGATCAATTAGTGGCCTATTTTAAATCGTATCGTATCTAATATTGCTGTTTAGACGTCTATGCAGTTGTTTAAGAAAGTATGTCAATCTTATTACATATGACTAGTATCTTTGTCTTATGATTCTCGTTGTGCATAGTTATGCACAAGAGTTGTTTACCGAGGCATTTTTAAGGATGGAAAATCATCGAATGACAGCTCTCGCCTGGGTGAGGCGGAGGGAGTGTCAGACTCTTACTGACTAAAAATCAACCCGTTCCTACTAATGCACTTCGAGCCGGGGCACCGGTAACCCGTTAGGTTCTCCTCGAGAATATGAACCCCTGGCGTGGCTTGAAACTAAACTAAACTAAAAGTTAAGGGTCATCTCAAACAGTAATGGCACTGATACGGCACAGCGTTTTTTATTTCGGAAACACAAAAGCGGCCTTACAGCTTTTTTTATATTGATGTTATGAAATATGTCACATGCCATAGGATTTAGTGTTTACAAGTTAATTGCCGAGTTGAAGCCGGATTGGAGCGGTGTCGGCTACGTCTAAAATGACCTTAACTACTCAAACAGTTATGTGAGTGAGCTGATAAACATAATTGAGACTAGGATCTTTAACGAACAAAGTACACCTTAGAAATATTTGCGATTAATATACGTTTAGTATGTATTGCACCTAGTGTGTACTTCTATATTCATACCACCGCTTAGGTACCCATTTTGTTTAAAACTCATTTCGATTTGCTCGTAAAAATATCGTTCAAAAATAAATAGGCGACCTAATATGGCTATAATATTTCCCTATTTCCTTTAAGAGCAACCACTG